CCCCCCCCCACCGCACACCCTGGCGCAGTGTGCGGGATCGGGGTGTGTGCGTGAAGTGTGGGGGGTCCCGAGGTGAAGCCGGGTGCGTGGGCACCGGGCCTCCGGCTTTGTTTTCCTTTGTGGAGAGAGGAAGGGAGGGGGTTATTTATCCCATTTCGGCGTTGGAGAAATCCGTGCTCGCCAAGTCTCCGGGAATCCAAACTGTTGGTGCCCCCGAGTGTGAGCCAGGGGGACGCGCGCGCCGGGAGGCGCCCCGGGCCCGGCCAGCCCCCTCCCCGACTTCGCCCGGAGTTGTCGGGTATCCTTCCCCTCTGACACATCCTCCCCCAGGAAACGAGAGGAGAGGAGCGGGGACGCGATCGCAACTGGGTGGCTTTAATTTTTATTTTAAATGTTCTGCCCATTGACAAAGGGTCTTGGCTCTGGGGTAGAGGGGCGGCGGCATCAGGAAGTTAAAATACACACACAACACACACACGCCCTGCCCGTGTACAGCGCTGGTTTGGTAGTTTAATTTTTTCTAACCATTTGGAACTCCTAAATACTCATGTCTGCCTTTTTTTTTTTTATAACTTTGTTTATCTCCTCTTCCCCCATCACCCCGTACCCCCACCCCCGTGGGAGGGAAACACTTAAAGACTGGGAAAGCTGCTCTCATTTCCCGATGAACATCTTTCCTTCCCCTTCTTGGGGGGGCAGGGGGGTTCTGGGAGAGATGAGTGCTGGGGCAGCCTGTGGTCTCCCTAGAGACCTAGGCCCCAGACCCAGGAGACTGTGGCTGCCACAGAGCAGTTATATTGGGGTCCTGCAAGGCTGACAGCTTGCACCCGCGTCCCCCTCTCAGCAGACGGCCTGATAGCAGAGGGGCTGGGGGTCATGTGCAGTGTATTTATGTAAGACACCCAGACAGAGGGCATGGGTATTTATATAACCCGGCGTGGGTATTTATGTAATATAGGATGCCTGAGTATTTATGTTCCTTTCCTAACCTGCGGCTTTCCCCGGCTGCCATGTGTGGTCTTTCCTTGGTGGTGTGTGTGTGTGTGCGTGTGCGTGTGTGCGTGTGCGTGTGTGTGTGTGAATTCCCCCAACTACCCACCTCGCCAGGCTCACCAAGCATGCTGCTCTCCATTATACTCTTGGCCAGGCATACTTGGGAAGTTGCTCTCTGCGTGGACATGACATGGAGTGCGTGGTCCTGGCATGCATGGCATGTGGGTTTCCTGTAAATGTGGAGTCTTGTTGCTGGCAGCCAGGCCACCTCAGCTGGGCCAGGCCAGGCATGTCCACGAAAAGCCTTGATGGAATGTCCAGAGTTTGGGTGACATGCCATGCCAGGGGCTGCTTCCTTGTGGCCGTGCAAAGGCCTGTTGTAGTGGTTTTTCCGGACGGCTGTGCGGTGCTGGGTGCCTCCTGGGCTGGAGCTGTGGCTTCCCTGGCTCTGCCAGGGCCAGCAGCTCCGCCCTGTCAGTGAAGTAGTTCTCTCCCAGCTCTCCAGCCAGGCCTGGGTAGCCCTTGGTATGGGGAAGGGCAGTCCCTCCATGCCAGCATAGCTGCCATGCCACCTTCCTGTTTTGCACGAGAGAAGTCCCGTGCGTGAGGGTGGGAGTCACCCGGTGAGCATGGGGCTGGGTGGCTAGGTGGGTGACTTCAGGTCCCAGGTGAGGCTGGCTGCTGGCGGGGGCACCAGGGCAGTGACCAGGCCTCTCAGGACCTGAGTTTCTACCTGAAAAGTGAGCTGTCCCTCCAGGTCACTTAAACTGGCTTTGTGAAGGCACTGAAGTCAGAACCTTTTTTTTTTTTTTTTGTCTGTCCATCTTGGGGCCTGAACTCTGGGCCTGGGTGCTGTCTGTCAGCTCTTCAGCTCAAGGCTAGCGCTCTACCACTTGAGCCACAGCATCATTTCATTTTCTGAGGAGTTTATTGGAGATAAAAGTCTCACGGACTTTTCCTGCCTAGGCTGGCTTTGAGCCACCATCCTCAAATCTTAGTCTTCTGAGCAGCGAGGATTACAGTCATGAGCCACTGGTGCCCGCCTGACCTTTTCCTCCTTCTGTTTCCAGTTCCCATTTCCTGTCCCCCTTCTCCCACCAGCAGCCCAAACTGCCCCTGCCTCTGAGCCTCACTTGCTGGCCAGGAGCACAAGTGTGCAGATCTCTGCCCCAGGGTGGCCCAGGCCCTGTTGTCTGTGGGCTGCAGGAAGGAGGGAACCTGTTCAAATCAGAGCCCCTCCTGCCCCATGGGTTCTGATGGCTGCAAACCTGCCTTGGCTCCGTTTATGTACATGGCCCTTGCAGGAGACCCTCTAACCACCTAGGCTTGAAGGAAGCCAGCCCCAGAAGTTCATCCAAAGAGATCCAAAGACAAACGTGTAGTCAGGCCTGAGAGAAGTTCTGTGTCCTGAGCAGCGTAGGGAAGACCACTGAAAGATCCCTTTCCTGAGACATCCCCCCCCCCCACTTCCTGCAGAGCACACTGGGCCCAGGCCATGCTAGAATGACAGCTGGGCTGTGGAGCCCTGGCCCAGTTTTGTACACTGCATGCCGGATGGGGGAGGTGCCTGGAGTGCAGGGGAGACCCTGTCATTTCGGAGGCCTAAAGGCCACTTAGCAGCACCTTTGGGACCCCTCCTGCAGTCTGTCCTCCCATCCCTGGAGGCTAGGACTTGGCTGGTGGTTACAGTGGCCCCTGGTGGTCAGCTCCTGAGGGCCAGGCCCTTCTCTGAGGATGTCTAAGCCTCCCTGGGAGTGTGGAGAAGACTTTGTATCTCTGGCCTCTGGAGGAAGGTGGGGTCACTGAGGGCAGAGTCACAGGGGCCCTCTGCTCCCACTCGCCTCTCTATCCCTGTTTCCCTCTTTGTCCTTGATTTCCGTTTCTGGGGGCTGTGGCCCCTTGTGACCAGTCTCACCCCCTCAAAGCCGCTTCCTCTTGGAGGGGTTCCTGAGTGAGTGTTCCCCAAAGAGATCCTCTGGGCTGTTTCCTCTGGGGTCTTGGCTTTAATTTCAGACTGGGCTGAAACCTGTTCGAAACCTGCCTCAGCCGTTCCTCTTGTGTGGGCTACCTGGTTACCTGACACCTGGTGCCCTTGGGCAAAGGGAGGCCCAGTAGCTTCCTGGATGTGGGAGGGAGGAGTCTGGCCTTTCAGGTCCCTTGCAGCTTTGTCTGGCCTTTGATGAGGGAAGAGAGGGTCCCCTCAGCAGCTTCCTGTTCTTTGACCCCTATGATTCTGTTTGTCTCTGCAGCAAGGGTGAACCATGGAGCTGCGTGTGGGGAATAAATACCGCCTAGGGCGCAAGATCGGAAGCGGGTCCTTTGGAGACATCTACCTGGGTAAGAGTTCCTGGCTGCCACCTGAACCCAGGAACAGTGGGACAGTCCTGGGAAGGAGCAGGGGAGAGGAGCCGGAGGAAAGAGCGCAGGACTTTGGGGGCTGACGCTCGAACTTTGCTCTGGTGGCATAACTTGCCAGTTGTGGAAAGAAACCTTAGCTAGAGGGGATTGTGGGGTAGGGGACTCCCTTCACAGCTGGGTGGGTGGGCTTCCCACTTGCTGTGCTGGGCAGAGAGTATTTTTAGCTCTGATCTCCAGCTGTGGCTGACCTGGGTCCCAGTTGCGTGTTGGAAACACAGGCTGGGCTGGCACCCAGGAGAAGGGTGCTCGTGGACAGAGGGCCTGGCCCCCTCTCTGTGATCTGGCCTCCTGGAATGTAGCCCGGGCAGGCTGTGGAATGACGCAGGGGAGGGGTCTCCACCCCCAGGAAGCTGCTCTGTCTCCGGATGTGCTTCCGGTTAGAAGTCTGAGTTCTGATGTTGCCATCTCAGCCCTCTGGCCTGGGAGACAAGAGGCTTCTGCCTTTGGATGCTGCTGTTGTAGCCTGTGGGGCTCATGCTTGTGAGTCATGGCTTCCTTCGCAGTTGTTGGACTGCATGGAGAAGTTTTATTTTGGTAATTGTCAGTGAGGGGGGCTTACAGCTGTGAGGGGCACGGTGGCCAAGTCCCCGATGGAGGGTTTATCGGTGGTCTTGTCTCTGCCCTCAGAAGCAGGCCTGAGCCATTTTTGCGCCAAATCACTTCTGTCCTGGGCAGGGAAAAGGGACGAATTAGTGTGGCGTGTTCATTAATTCAGACTGTAAGGCCTTTCTTTTCACTAGTGGTTAGGGTCCCTGTTCCCTTGGCCTAAAAGATCTCTCTCTCTGGGAGGCTCAGGGCAACCGGGTTCTGGGGACACTGGATCTCCTAAGCCCTTACCTGCCAAGTCTCCCTGAGGGCTAGCCTGGAGATGGTGCTGGAGGTACAGCCAACCAAGGTGACCTGCCATGGTTATTACTGGAAAACTAGCCAAGACCTGTCCACCACAGCATTGTTAAGCAAGAGTATAGAAGTCAGGCCTGAGTTCTGGACCTTGCTTTGTGATTTAAGTGCCCCTATCTGCAAAGTTTATGTGTTGACACTGCCTGACTGATCAAGCACTGTTATAAGATAGCCAACACTGCGGGCACAACTGGCTACTCTCCCCTGGAAACAGGATGGGAGCAGAAAGAGGGAAGACCAGGGTGCTGGTGGAAGTGATTTAACCCAGGGTGATGGTGTACATCTCTGGAGGATTGCTTGAGTTCAAGGCCAGTTTGGGTAGAATCAGGAAGTGCTGTACACCTTCCAGGTCCTCCTGGAGGAGAGGTGGGCTTGTACCTGTGCCCCAAGGCCTAGCCTATGGCTGTCCATGGGGTATGTCCAGTGAGCCCTTGTTAGTGAAAGAATGAGAAAGCAGGGATTGTAGCTTGAAGAGTAACCTTACTGTAAGATGACAGGAGGTTGGGGCTTGGGGGCCAGGCTGAGTTGAGGATCCCAGTCTTATCTTCATTTGTTGCGTGGCCTGGGAGAAGTCCCGTCCTTTGAGTCTTAGCATATCTCCTGTTGGAGACCATAGGCGGGTGAAAACCCCTTGTGGAATCTCCCAGATTTGGAACTGAAAGACACAAAGGCAGCTCTTGGCACCCCTTAGCTCAGACAAGCTCCTGCTGCCCCAGACAGCTCCCAGTCCTGGCCCTGTTTTTGCAGAAGGGATGTGGAAGTCCACAGGAGGGGCAGCCCACACCACTTAGGAGAGCCACTGTCCCTGGTGTCCCTGCCTGGGGGCGGGACTTCTTGTTTCCTCATGGAGTCATCTTGCTTATTTTTAAATCTAGGGCCATATTGACTCCTTTTTGTGTCTGCTCTGGAGTAAATTGATTTCCTCTTGCTGTGCCCTGGAGCCAATGATGGCCTTTGCCAGCCTCAGCTTCCCCTTCTGGAGAGTGGTGGTGTGAGGAGCAATGGGATCCTGCTGTGTAAAACACCTGCGTGCGCCAGGCCCAGCAGAGACACTTGGACTGTGTCCTGCTGTGTCCCTGCCCTTGTGCTCCTTTGGGCCCTGCTGCTTTCCAGGGATCTTGGGCCTGCATGGGAATGGAGCCAGTTTTCTCATGCTCAGCCTTCACTGGGATGCAGGTGTTGGGGCTCCGCCCTTACACAACTCCTGTTGGCGCCAGCCTCCGCTCCTGTCTTTTGGCTTGGAGACAGTGGGGTGATTGTGGGGGCTTCCCCAGTGGGGCTCACTGGCTCCCTTTGTTCAGAGTGCTGGCCACATTCTGGTCACCATCACCAGTGCAGGATCCTGGGCCTGACCCCTGAGGACCTCTACAGGAGGCCAGCGCAGCTCCCAAGCGCTGCTTTCCAGGACTGGGGAACACACTGTGATGTGGCTGGGAAAGGCTCCTGGCACTTGTGGGGACCATTGGCTTTGAACCTGGGGAATGCTGTAGACCTCTTAGAACTGCTGGTCCTTTGCTGGGTGTCGGTGGCTCATGCCTATCATCCTAGCTATTCAGGAGGCTGAGATCTGAGGATCACGTTTCAAAGCCAGCCTGAGCAGGAAAGTCCATGAGACTTTTATGTCCAATAAATGACTCAAAAAACCAGAAGTGGTGCTGTGGCTCAAGTGGTAGAGCGCCATCCTTGAGCTGAAGGGCCGAGGGACAGTGCCCAGGCCCAGAGTTCAAGCCCCACAACTGACAACAAAAACAAAAACTGCTGGTCCTTTGCTCTGTAGGGAACAGAGCTGCTGCAACCCCCCCATAGGTGGTTATAGGGGTAAGGGGGGGTGCAGTGAACACTCCGGGCCTCTGATAGATGGGCGCTTAAGTTGCTGCTGTTGGGGAGGGGGCCAGATGTTCTTCATCCCTCACCCTGTTCCCTGCCAGGTCCTCCCTGCCATGAGCCCCCCCTCACAGGTTGGCTGTCTTCCTGCCCATTGTTTCCCCTCCAGGGCCAGCCAGGCTGATACCCTTCTCTGTATTTGTTTTGGGTGTGGACCCGTCCTTGCAGTGGGCTGCAGTGTCTCATGGATGGGCCACGTGCTGTGCCTGAACAAGGCCATGTTTCTGCTGGCCTCCAGGCTGTTGTCCGCCGGGGCCCCTCTAGCATGGCCCCTCATTACAGCACACGCAGCCCGCTGCCTGGATGCCCCTCCCGCTGGGCTCCCTCTGCAGCCCCTGCCCTGGCACCTTTCTCCAGGCCAGTTGCCCTTGGCTGATTACACAGAAAGTGAGCTTGGCTCCAGGGCAGCCCTGCTCCCACTCAGCTGCTCCATGCCCCGTGCCACCTGCAAATTGTATAAATGAAACACCAGGAAATTGGGATGGAGGAAGAGACAGGGGGCCTCGGAAGCTAAACTGCAAGTCCTGGCTCTGCTCCACCCAGGTCTTCCCAGCCTGGCGTTACTTAACCTCTCTGGACCTCAGCGTGGAGGTCGGGGGAGGCCTGCTGCCCCACTGGCACTTCCGGGCTGTTGTGGAAGGTACCAGGGCTCGTGGGTCTTGAAGACCTTGTCTAACAGCTCAGGACCCTGGAAGTTGTTTGATGTATGGCCATTTGGAGACTTGGTTTTCTCATGTGTCAAGAGATGCTGGCAGGATGGAGTCAGGGCCCACGGGAGTGAAGGGCTCTGTCTGCCTCCACCTCTCCAGCGCCCGTGCCCAGAACACATCTGCTGAAGGCCCTGTGTCCTCGGCTCCAGCCTGCACAGCTCCGGTGGCTGCCTCTATGTCTCCCCCACTGCTGGAATCTCCTCAGCCCTTTGCGTCGAGGTCAAGGGGCGCCCAAAGCCCCTGTGCTGGTGCTGGGAAGGTGGCTTAGTGGTAGAGTGCTTACCTAGCATGCATGAAGCCTTGGGTTCGATTCCTCAGTACCACATAAACAGAAAAAGCTGGAGGTGGCTGTGTGGCTCAATATAATCTTCAGTCACCCAAGGCCCCACCATACCAGACCACGCAGAGTTAGTGGCACTCCCTCCTGCCAGGCCTTTGCGCATGCAATGATGTGTGTGGGGGGGTGGCACAGTCCTGGTAGCCTTCTCTCCAGGGAGATGCCCCCCCCCCATCCCGCCCCGTGTCTCCATCTCCTGACTCCTTTGTTCCCATGCGGTCAGCTGCCGCCTCTGTCCCCCTCCCTCCCCCCAGTCCATGTCTACAGCCCAGGCTACTCATTCCTCTTCACCCCTCCCACTGTGGAGCGACTGCTGTGTGCCAGGCACTCTCGTTGCTAGGGCTTATCTGTGCCACAAAACAGCCTAGTGAGCTAGAGCCTACCAGTGGTTTGCAGCTGGGTACATGGCACAGGGCAGTGAGGTTCCCTGGCTCCAAGGGGGCACAGGCAGGAGTGCTGGACTCCAGCAGCTGTCCCTGGAGTGGATACTTGTGTCCATTGCATTCTCATGCCCACATTGGGATGGGCATGCTAGCAGATTCCAGGGCACGCCACTTCCCTCCTGTACTGTGTCCTCAAAGCCCCTCAGAAACCTGTGTGCTCTGCTGAGCACTTTCACAGCTTGCAAACCAGCCTCTCCCATTGATTTTACTTTTCTTTGATATTGCTCATAACTCAAACACAAGGCTGGGTGTGGTGGCTTGTGTCTGTAGTTCCAGCTCGTTGGGCACAGAGATAATGAGACCCTGTCTCAAAATGAAAATAAAAAAGCTAAGGCCAGGTCCTAGCTACTGAGGAGGCTGAGATCTGATGATCACAGTTTGAAGCCAAAGCCAGGCAGGAAAGTGCGATTTTTTTTTTTTTATCATGGGGTTTGAATTCTGGGCCTGCACTGTCCCTGAGCTCTTCAGCTCAAGGCTAGCATTCTACCTCGAGTCACAGCACCTTTTCCAGTTTTCTTATGGTTAATTGGAGATAGGAGTCTCATGGACTTTCCTTCCCTGGGCTGGCTTTGAACCGTGATCCTCAGATCTCAGCCTTCTGAGTAGGATTACAGGCGTGAGCCACCAGTGCCCAGCTGAGAATCTTATCTCTAGTTAACCATCAAAGCACTGAGGGGCTGGGAAGGTGGCTTGGTGGTAGAACACTTGCCTTGCATGCATGAGGCCCTGGGTTTGATTCCTCAGTACCACATAAGCAAAAAGAAAAAAGCCGGAAGTGGCGCTGTGGCTCAAGCTGAAGGACAACGCCCAGGCCCAGAGTTCAGGCCCCACGACCAAACCCAAAAACAAACAAACAAAAAACACTGGCAGTACATATACAGGGCTGGGAATGTGGCTTAGGGTAGAGCGTTTGCCTAGCATGCATGAAGCCCTGGATTAGATTCCTCAGTACCACATAAACAGAAAAAGCCAGAAGTGGCTCTGTGGTTCAAGTGGTAGAGTGCTAGCCTTGAGCATACAGAGGCTCAGGGAGAGCCCCCAGGCTCTGAGTTCAAGCCCAGGATTGGAAAAAAAAGAGAGAAGAAAGTACATATATACACATATATGTGTATGTATATATGTGTATATATATATACACACTATACGTATATATATACTTATGTGTGTGTGTGTACACACACACACATACACCCCAAAAATCAATACAATAAAAAATGTGTTGAGTAAAAGAAACAACCCAGCACTAGTGGCTCCTAGCTAACCAGGACAAGACTTGGAAGATTGCCATTCAAAGCCAGCCTGGGAAGAAAAATCTGAGAGATTCTGTCTTCGAGATAATCAGCAAAAAGCAAGCTCAAGGGTGTGGTTCAGTGCTAGAGCACCAACCATAGCAATAAGCTGAGTGAAAAAGCATGAGAGCCTGAGTTCAAGCCAGGGATCAGCTCTCCTACCTCCCCCACCCACAAAAACAGATTACAGGCTAGGAATGTGGCTTAGTGGTAGAGTGCTTGCCTAGCATGCATGAAACCCTGGGTTCTATTCCTCAGTACCACATAAACAGAAAAGGCTGGAAGTAGCACTGTGGCTCAAGTGGTAGAGTGCTAACCTTGACCAAAAAATACTCAGGGACAGATCCCAGGCCCTGAGTTCAAGCCTAGTGACTGGTGGGGAGGGGGGAGATTACAAAAGATCGCATCTGAACTGTGTCTATGAAGAGTGAGTTCCTGGGTTACAGGATTTGTGGGATGACTACTAAAGGGTAAGGCTTGTTTGCAGGTTGATAAAAACATTGTAAAAGGGATCTCATGACTGTTATGCAACATTGTGAATATACTCAGAACTGGTGGGTGAACTGTGTTTTGTGTACATGTATCTCAGTAAAGAGGCTATGCAGTTAACATGTAACAATGTAACAAGGAATCCAGTGGGGGGTATCACCTGGGAACCTCCTGTTTCTTTTTTCTTTCTTTTTTTTTTTTTTCTGGTTGTCCTGGGCCTTGAACTCTGAGCCTGGGCGCTTTCCCTGCGCTCTTCAGCTCAAGGTGAGCTCTCTACTGCTGGAGCCACAGCCCCACTTCTGGTTTTCCAGTGGTATATTGGAGGTAAGAGTTTCACAGACTTTCCTCCTGGGCTGGCCTTGAACCATGATTCTCAGATCTCAGCCTCCTGAGTATCTAGGATTACAGGTGTGAGCCACCCGTGCCCGGCCCTCATGTTTCTTTAAGAGAGGGAGGAGTAGAATACATGTTCCACTTCTGCACAGAAAGCCTTCCTCATTCTCTCCCCATTCCTCACGTTCTGTCGTCTGGATGGGCTGTTCTTTAACCAGTGCCCAGGCTGAACATGGGGAGAGGTCCCTCCAAGCTGTCATAGTTACAGTGTTAGCCACAGCCTTGTGAGGCTCCTTTGCATCGCTCCAGGGTGTCGGCTAACCCCCAGGAAAGGGAGGTGCTGGTCACCCCCTTACCCTCCCACTGCCCCTGCCAATGAACAGATGCTGTCTTGTCTGGGAACTTCTGACAGCCAGCTGAAACATAGTCTTTAGGGATCATTTAATTCGCATTTCTCTTCGGGAGGCTGCACATCCTCTGCGATGAGTAAGCCATTCATAGTAATGATCTTTCTCTGGGAAGGCTGTTCACATCCTTCACCCTGCTTCCTGTTGAGTCTCACCTACCTGCCAGCACAATAGTTTTGTTCCTGACCTTTTTGCCAGGCAGAGAGGTTCTCTTTTTGGAGAAGAGGGAGGATATTGAGAGAGAGGCAGAGCGCATCCTAATTAATATGAGAGCCCCTCTCATCTGAGAGCCCCTGGGGTTCCTTGCTGGCCTTGTCTCCTTTCCCCTTCACCAGTAGTCACCAGCTGACATTTTAAGTTATTCCCTTTTGTTGAGAGTTGCATCGTATGTTTATGCCCCCGAATTGCATTGAGTGTTGCGTGCTTTGAAATTGAGACAAATAGGTCTGTGCTCTCATCTGACACTTGCTTTTGAAGTAAAATTCACAAAGCATCAAATTAGTTAGGCATCTTAAAGTATACAGATCAAAACCCAGTGTGATGGTACATTCCTGGAATCCCAGCATTCAGGAGACTGAGGCCGAAGGATCTAAGGCTTACGGCCAATCTAGGCTTCATAGTGAGTGAGACTGCATCAAGAAAGAGAGGCAGAGAAAGAGAGAGAACAAAAGGAAAAGAAGTGGGGTTCAGCGGCATTTACTGCCATGCATACACCAGAGCACCCCGTGAGGTTCTAACACACGCTTCCTCTGTCCTCTTGGAAAAACTTAGTTCCCTTCAGGCAGCCATCTCTGTGTCCCCTCCCCTTCCCCACCATCCCATTTCCTGTGTCTGGAGCTGCCTGTTCTGGGTACTTCAGAATGGAGTCCTGTACTGGTTGGTTGGTTGTTGTTTTGTCGATTGTGGGGCTTGAACTTAGGGCTTGGGCCCTTCCCTGAGCTCTTTTGCTCAAAGCTAACACTCTACCACTTTTGAGCCACAGCACTGGTGGTTCACTGGAGATAAGAGTCTCTTGGACTTTCCTGACTGGGCTGGCTTTGAACTGTGATCCTAAGATTTCAGCCTCCTGAGCAGCTAGGATGACAGGCGTGACCCACTGGAGACCAGTTTTACTGGACATGTACAGCAAGATCATGGCCTGCTGTGCTTCTTAGAAATTCCGTACAACCTTTCTTCCTCCCCTTGGGTTTCTCCTGGCTGTGGTATGAGCTGCCTGGGCCTGGGCCAGTGCTGGTCTTGTCCCATCCCCCAACACCAACACCCACATCTTTCCTTGGAGATGCAGCTTTTCCTGGTGCTTCTTTGCTTGTGTCTCCTGGCCATTGAGTCTGCTCAATGCTTACATGATAGTCCCTGCTATCAGCAGGGTCCTGTGAGGGACCCCACTCCTCCATCCAGCTCACTTGTTCTTTTGGATAATGTTGTTAATTGTGTGTCTGTGTGTGTGTTTACGTGTGTGTGCACGTGTGTGCATGCATGCACGCACACACACACACAGCACTAACTGGGGCTTGAGTTCAGGGCCTTTCATTCTTGCTTAGCTGTTTTGATCGAGACTGGCACTCTACCAATGCAACAGTGATAGACACAAGACCCTATGTTGATAATGATCTGTACAACTTGTTGGGGGGGGAGGTTGGAGAGAGGGAGGGAAAGTAGGAGAAAAATGAGGAAAGGAGTAACAAGTTTGACAAGAAATGTACTTATTACCTCACTTCTATAACGGTAACCCCTCTGTACATCACCTTGACAATAGTAAAAAAAAAAAAGGACTGGCACTCTACACAAGAGCCACACCTCCACTTCTGGCTTTTTCCTGGTTCATTGGAGATAAGAATGTCATATTCTTTGCCTGGGCTAGCTTAAAGCCTTGATCCTCAGATCTCAGCCTCCCCAGTGGCTGAGTCTCTCCAGCAAGTCTTGCTAACTTTTTCTCCAGGCTGCTGGCACTATAATCCTCTTATCTCTACTTCCCAAATGCTGAGATTATAGGTAAGACCCTCGATGCCTGACCTGTGATTTTCTTTTCTTTTCTTTCCTTTTTTTTGTGCCAGTCCTGGGGCTTGAACTCAAGGCCTACCTGCTATCCCTGAGCTTCTTTTGCTCAAGGCTAACCCTCTGAGCCACAGCACCCCTTCTTATTTTTTTTCTGTGTATGTGGTACAGAGGAACAGAACCCAGGGCTTCATGCATGCTAGACAAGCACTCTACCACTAAGCCACATTCCCAGCCCCTCTTGTGATTTCTTGAGCCCTGGGCTAGGCCCAGGCTTGAGAGCTAGGCCTCCCTGTGTGGGAGGATTTTGGTAGAACCTGTCTTGACTTCAGATGAGTGTAGGAGCTGAGGAGAAGCAGAGGTGCAGACAGGACCCTCATGCCCACACTCAGAAGCCAAGAGAACCGGGGTTCATACTAGTTCGGCACTCCCTAGCTATGTCTCCCGGCTGGGCCTGTTCCCTCCCCTGTGTAACAGGAATACTCAAGCGAGAGATGCTGAGGTGAGGTGATGGGGCCTTCTTGGAAGGTGTCAGCATTGATGGGAGTGGGGGGTCAGGGCTGGTTATTGAGTTCAACCCTTACAGAACCTTCTGCAGGAAGCTTGGGATTATCCAGGGTATTCATCTTCCCACTAGACTCCTGATTCCTCTCCTCAGCCATTTTGGCTTCATCGGTCTCCAGGATTAGTCCGGGGCAGGATGGTAATGGAGCTCATGGAGCTCAGCCTCTTGGATCTCCACCTTCATGTTTCAGTGAACTTCCAGGTCCATGTCTTCCTGGCTGGCTGGGCTGTTCTCGCCCTCTCTGTCCACAGGCCCTCTCTGGGCCCTGTGCCCCAGGCTTGGGCTCAGCAGCCTTGGAAATGCTGAGTGGGGACGACCAGCTGGCTGAGGTAGGTGACCCTGCTCCTTTGTCCTTGCAGGTGCCAACATTGCCTCTGGTGAAGAGGTAGCCATCAAGCTTGAGTGTGTGAAGACGAAGCACCCGCAGCTGCACATTGAGAGCAAGTTCTACAAGATGATGCAAGGGGGAGGTGAGCCTGGGCTCCTGCGGGGGAGGGCGGGCACCTGACAGGATGTGGGCTATGCCAACGTGTCGGGAGGGAGCCACCGGGCTGTGACTGCCCCTCTTCCCTGCCGCAGTGGGAATCCCGTCCATCAAGTGGTGTGGGGCTGAGGGCGACTACAACGTGATGGTCATGGAGCTGCTGGGGCCCAGCCTCGAGGACCTCTTCAACTTCTGCTCCCGCAAGTTCAGCCTCAAGACGGTGCTGCTCCTGGCCGACCAAATGGTGAGCCCCAGCCCCACATCTTGCCCGAGGGCACAGATGCCAGATGAACCTGCTCGGGGTGCTGGAGGAGGGGTGGAGGACAGGCCTGGCTGCTGGTTAGGGATCTCGGTCCCCTGTGGCCAGATCCTCTGGTGTTTATTTATAATGCAGATTCCAGGCCCAACTGCGCACCAGCCAAGCCTGCCTCCTGCTGTGGGGCCCTGGGCCTTCCCCTTGTGGTGACCCAAGGTGAATGGTTAAGCCTCTGAGCCTCCACCCTCTGTGAGTCTCGCGTTGCCAGGCTCTTTTGGGGAGTGAGATGTCACACGGTGTCTGGGCCAAAGTAGGTGTTAGGTCTGCAGCCCTGGTGCACAGAGGAAGGCTTTGTTAGAGAGACAAACCGGGCTGGGCAGGGTAGCCACACCTGGAATCCCAGCCACCCACACTGAGGCCAGCCCAGGCTACCCAGTGAGAAGTCTGAAAACAAAACAGAAAGAGATAAAGGCTGGACTAACAAAGCCACTGAGGCCTTGGGCTCCATCTGTGGCACCACACAATAGAAGAGTTACTGGATGTGGACATGGGCAGTACAGCGGGTGGTGTCCCTGGTCTGTGAACACCCTGTGTTTTCAGGTAGTGTGTGTACAGAGTGGGTTATCAGATACACACAGGGAAACCCCCAGGGGAGTTCTAGGAGATACTAAAGCTGAGGCCCAGAATGGGGTCAACTGACCTGCCAGAACACATGGTGTGGCATGAGTGATGGAGTTGAAGGGCGGGGGAGGGGAGAATCACCACTTAAAGTGGATCTGGTGCTGGGCACCAGTGGCTCACGCCTGTAACCTTAGCTACTCTGGAGACCAAGATCTGAGGATTTTGGTTTAAAGCCAGCTGGGGCAGATAAGTCAAAGAGACTGTTAGCTCAAATTAAGCAACAAAAGGCTGGCAGAATTGGAACTGTGGCTCTAGCTGGTAGAATGAAAAAGCTCAGGGACAAGTGGCCCAGCCTGGAGTTCAAGCCCCAGTACCAACACACACACACACACACGCACGCACGCACGCACACACGCACACAGGTCTGCAGGTGTGGCTCAAATGATATAGAACCCTGACAACCTGACTAGCAAGCATGAGGTCCTGAGTTGAAAATCTCAGTACTGGGCTGGGAAGGTGGCTCGGTGGAAGAGTGCTTGCCTTGCATGCATGAAGCCCTGGGTTTGATTCCTCAGCACCACATAAGCAGAAAAAGCTGGAAATGGCACTGTGGCTCAAGTGGTAGGTAGAGCGCTAGCCTTGAGCTGAAGAGGTCAGTGCCCAGGCCCAGAGTTCAGGCCCTACAACTGACAGGGAAAAAAAAAATCTCAGTACTGCCAAGAAGAAAAAATATCAAAAAGCAAGAAGGGGTTGTCTGTGTGTGACTTTGGTATCCCTTGGAAGTTCTGATGAGCCCTGTCTTTTGTGTTCCATCTCTTGTCCCTCTGGGTCTTCTTTGGTGTTCCCAGCCCTCCTCTTCTCCTGATTGTGATTGTCTCTGTGTCTCTAGCTCTCCAGTTCTGTGTAGGTTGAGCCTCGCAGGGTTCTATAGGGGCCTGAGTGCATGAGGCTTGAACTCTGGGCCTGGGCACTGTCCCTCAGCTCTTTAGCTCAAGGTTAGTGCTCTACCACTTTGAGCCATAGCGCCACTTCCAGTTTTCGGGTAGTTAATTGGAGATAACAGTTTCACACTGGGGCTGGGAAGGTGGCTTAGTGGTAGAGAGCTTGCCTTGCATGCATGAGGCCCTGGATTTGATTCCTCAGCACCACATAAGCAAAAAGAAAAAAGCTGGAAGTGGTGCTGTGGCTCAAGTGGTAGAGTGCTAACCTTGAGCTGAAGAGCTGAGGAACAGCGCCCAGGCCCAGAGTTCAGGCCCCATGACCAGACCAAAAAAAAAAAAAGAGTTTCACAGACTTTCCTGCCCGGCCCGGCTTTGAACTGTAATCCTCAAATCTCAGCTTCCTGAGTAGCTAGGATTACAGGCATGAGCCACTGGTAATCCACCGGTGTCCAGTTCCTTTGGAGTCTTGACATGGGTTTTTCTTTTTTTTTTTGGGGGGGGGGGGAGTCCGGTCGTGGGGCCTGAACTCTGGGCCTGAGCGCTGACCCTCAGCTCTTCAGCTCAAGGCTAGCACTCTACCACTTGAGCCACAGCGCCACTTCCGGGTTTTTTCTTATGTGGTGCTGAGGAATCGAACCCAGGGCCTCAAGCATGCAAGGCAAGCACTCTACCACTGAGCCACCTTCCCAGCCTGACAAGGGCTTTTCTCCTCACTTGCTTTCCCTGTCTGTCTCTCATCATGTCCTCAGTTGGTATTTGCATTCGCATTTGTGAACTCTTCTTTCAGACTCCATCCTAATGTTACTTCCTCCAGGAGCCTTCTCTGACTTTCTTCTGAAATCATCTTTTCTGGTCCTTGGTCAGGTCAGGGACCTGACCCTCCAGCCTGAAATCTAGGCCAGCCTAGAGCACATGGTGCAGGCCCTTCCACGGAACACTTGCGTCCCCTCTTCTCCTTTCCCCAGATCAGCCGGATCGAGTACATCCACTCCAAGAACTTCATCCACCGGGATGTCAAGCCCGACAACTTCCTAATGGGCCTGGGGAAAAAAGGTAACCTGGTATATATCATCGATTTCGGCCTGGCCAAGAAGTATCGGGACGCCCGCACCCACCAGCACATCCCCTACCGGGAAAACAAGAACTTGACGGGTACTGCCCGCTACGCCTCTATCAATACCCACCTGGGCATCGGTGAGTGAACTGGGCCTGGAGCCAATGCCGCTGGCCCTACTTGGTTTGGAGGCCCCAGCACGTTTCCGGGGAGCCTCAGACAGGGTCACCCCTCCACCTCACAGCCCTGGGTCTGGAATTGATCCCCAGCTTGCCCATTTTAAGTAAAGCTGCACATGCCTTCGTGTGCCCTGCTTCATTCTCGTAGCAGCCTCATTGTGATTTCACATATGGGCTGCTTCAGAGCATGCAGCCGAATGAATGTCTGAGTCGGTTTTGACCCCAGCCCACTCTCATGCCACAGCTTTTGCCCTCTTCCCCTGGGAGGGGAGGGGTTGAAGAGGTGAGGGGTCAGTAGTACCCACCCACTGTTTAGTGAAATAGCGTCTGAGCTTGAAAAACTGGGAAAGCTGCAGGAGGAGGACAGGTCTGTGTAAATCCCAGGGCTGTGGGGAGCGAGCGGGCACTGGGCAGGGCTTGTCTGGTATGGGTGCCTGCTCTGGAACGAGGCTGAGGAGGAGCTGCAGACCCGAGTGGGTGGCCAGGGCCCTTCACCTCACTTCATCTCTGGCTCCGCAGAGCAAAGCCGTCGAGATGACCTGGAAAGTCTGGGCTACGTGCTCATGTACTTCAACCTGGGCTCCCTGCCCTGGCAGGGCCTCAAAGCAGCCACCAAGCGCCAGAAGTATGAGCGGATCAGCGAGAAGAAGATGTCGACACCCATCGAGGTCCTCTGCAAAGGCTACCCCTGTGAGTAGCCGGCGGGGAGGGGCAGGATGAGGCTCCTCCAAGTCCAGACACCTGAGCACCGCTCACAGGCTGCCTGCTGCTGAACAGTGTGCTGAGGGCCCCCGGTTCCCCAGGCTCCTTGGCTGTTAGACACCAGGTGTCCCCAGTCTACACTCCTGCCTTGCCTCCGAGGGGCCATCTCCTTGCCTAGACCGGTTGAATAGGCTTAGGTCACACATACATCATTGGCTTTGAGTGTGCGTGTGTGTGTGTGTGTGTGTGTGTGTGTGTGCGTGCGTGTGTGCGCATGCGTGTGTGCGCATGTGCGCACGTGCATGCATGTGTGGTGGTCCTGGGGCTTGAACCTAAGGCCTAGCAGCTGTCTCTGAGCTTTTTTACTCAAGCCTGGAACTCTTACCACTTGAGCAATAGCTCCACTTCTGGCTTTTAATTGAAGATAAAAGGCTCATGAACTTTCTTTCTTTTTTTTTTTTTTTTTTTTTTTTGTCGGTCGTGGGGCCTGAACTCTGGGCCTGGGCGCTGTCCCTCAGCTCTTCAGCTCAAGGCTAGTGCTCTACCACTTGAGCCACTGCGCCACTTCCGGCTTTTTTTTCTCTTTGCTTATGTGGTGCGGAGGAGTCAAACCCAGGGCCTCATGCATACAAGGCAAGCGCTCTACCACTGAGCCACCTTCCCAGCCCGCTCATGAATTTTCTTACCCAAGCTGACTTTGAACTACAGTCCTCAGATCTCACCTGCTGAGTAGTAGCTGGGATTACAGGTGTGTACCACCAGCACCTGGCTCTGCTTAGCCTTTCGAGATGATGACAGCCGTGACCCGGTCTCCACACCGAGTGCTGCACAGCTATTGCTGGGAGCAGCTCTGCCCACGGCTGCGGGCTGTTCTTTTGTCCTGCCCTCCTAGGTTCAGAGCATCTGTAGGGGCAGCAGGGGGGGGGCACGAATGTCTGCGTGCTTCTGGGAGCATGGGCCTCACATGGCCTCCTCTGTCCTCCGTTCTCCCCGCCAGCCGAGTTCTCAACATACCTCAACTTCTGCCGCTCGCTGCGGTTTGACGACAAGCCTGACTACTCCTACCTGCGCCAGCTCTTCCGCAACCTCTTCCACCGGCAGGGCTTCTCCTATGACTACGTCTTCGACTGGAACATGCTCAAATTTGTGAGTCACCTGGAGGCTAAGGAGGGCTTGGGGGACTGGCTGGGGAAGGCCCTGACGCCTGGTGCCACAGTGGCCTGGTGGCAGGCGGGGCTCCCGGCAGATGGGAGATACGAGCTGGATAGTGGCAGTGACCTCGCTGGTGTCCCACATGCCCCCCTCTCCTCCAGCTGCACCTACGGTCAGGGGGTATGCCATCGTGGGAGGCGGGGGTCAGGCCTCTGGCAGGCGCTGCCCCTTGCCGGGCCATGGAGGACCTGGCCCTGCTTCAGGTCCCTCCAGGGTCCCGGTGGCAGGTCGTGGATGGTGCTGTCAGGCCCCTCTGCCGCCCTGATCGCTGTCTGCACCATCCTGTTCCTCTTGTTCTCCACGTGCCAGGCGGCCACCTTCGCCCAGGCCTCCTTGGCTAGCCTGGACCCTTTCACAGTGGCTTCTTTCTTTCTGGTCATGGGACCGTGGGTCTTGCTAGGTCATTCTGTCTCCCACATTTAAGGGCCCTTGGGGGGTGGGGTGGGATGGAGAGAAGCACTCGACCGCCGTTCCTGGAGCTCCGGAATCTGTGAAATCGTATGTCTTGTTTCACGTCTCTTCTGGAAAAGGGGGCTTCCTCGAGCCAGGCTCAGCCCCGCAACAGCGACGCTATTGCACCGCCTCGGCCCCTTCCCTGGCCATGCGCCGGGCCGGTGTGCCCACCCACCTACTGGTAAGGACCCACCGATGCTTGCCACGCCCGAGACCTGCCACTCGGCCAGTAAGCGTGAAGCTGAGCTTCAGCTGTGATCTCTCTGTCCCTTCCAGGTGCCCGGCGCCCCTGGGCACCCAAGGCCCCTCAGATAGGCCCCTGGAGGAGATGGAGGAGGTAGAAGAGCTGCCTCCCCAAAACTACTGGCCTGTGGTCTGGACTCCAGGGCCCCAGTTCTGACATTACAAGGTGTGCCTGCAAGCATCAGGGCCAGGCCTGAGCAGGCATCCCTTGGGATGGAGGGGCTGGCAGCCCCCTGAGAGACGGCCTGCCATTCAGTGGAGAGGGTGTGGAAGAAAAGGCCCTGCGTGGGATTTTCGGGAATGAACCAGCTACTGAGAGTCAGGACAAGCCTGAAGAAGGAATTGTGGCCTTTACCTGGAAGCGTCCTGTGGACACAAGCGCCAGGACCAGGCCTTGTCGTCGTCGTCAGCCTCTGTATTGACCCTGAACTCATTAAAGCCTCGCCTCCCTGCTCTCTGCCCTGGTGTGCATCTTTTCACGGCAACCTGGGGGCCAGATGCTGAGGACTGGGGCCATGGCCTCCTGAATGCCACATTGGTGTCGGGGCTCCTCTTCCCTCTGAATCCATTGGTGGACTGGTCTTGTTTGTTTGTTTATTTATTTATTTATGTTGGTTGTGGGGCTTGAACTCCGGGTCTGTGTGCTGTCCCTCAGCTCTTCAGCTCAAGACGAGAGTGTTCTACCACTTGAGCCACAGCGCCACTTCCCGTTCTCTGGCGGTAAATTGGAGATAAGAGTCTCACGGACTTTCTTGTCCTGCCCAGACTGGCTTTGAACCACGATCCTCAGATGTCAGCCTCCTGCGTATCTAGGATGATAGGTGTGAGCCACCTGTGCCCGGGCCCTGGTCTTGTTCTTTTAAAGAGGACAACAGAGGTTAGGTAGGGAATGGGTATCATAGGCCAGGAAGCTTGGGGAAAGGCCTGTGTGGCCCTCAGTAAGCGTGGAAGGTGGGTGCCTCCCAGCATGGAAGAGCCTGAGTGCTGCTGTAAAAGCTCTGTGATGGGCTTAGCCCTTCCTAGGCTTTAGGGCAAGAACTGATTTCTCACTCCCTAGACCTGTGAGATCCACTAGAAAGTTACTGACCGCCCGGTGCTAATCTTTAACCCACTCAAACAAATACAGATGAAGCCAGTTCAGTTGCCTTTGCCACATTTCAAGTTCTCAGCCGCCATTGGCGGCCACTCTACCCAGCAAGGCAGGACATTTGTCATCCCAGAAAGTTCTGTGGACAGCTGCTCTGGATGGCTTCGTCATGATTCCTCCGGCGGGCCCAGCCAGCACAGGCCAGGCCAGGCGCACCTTCTCCACTCCACGGTTGGGACTCAGACAATCCCCTCCCTGGGATCCTGGGACTCGAGTCCAAAGCAGAAGGAAGGCATCACCACCCATGTCTGCCCTTGGTGAGCCCCAGCCACAGAGCGAGGTCACACAACTGTCACGCAGGCCCGGCCAAGCCACCCACCCTGCAAGAAGCCATTACTAGCACCTCGCAGCAGACAGATCTCCATACTGCACCTTGGACTGTGGACTCTTCAAAGGAGCTTGACCTTTGCCTTGACCTTGCAGTCGCCGTCCCATGTCATCAGGGCACCTGAAACCTGGGATCCTGTTCTCGGTACACGGCCACTGTTCTGCGGTCCAAGCAGCTGGCTAAGAGACCAGGAGGAAGCGCCACCCTGCCACGGACAGAGATCCAGATGACCGGATGCTGACATTTTTGTATTTTCTTATGGGCCAATAAAGACGGGAAAAGCTCCCTTGTGTCCCTTTCTTGATGCGGCGCTTGAGCCCGTGGAATGGTAGGATCGGCCTCTTCCTCCTGCCCACGGGGCTGGCATTGGCCTGAGTCCGCAGGGTAGCCAGGGGCTGGTGCTGCAGGGGTGCGCTCAGCTACTGGCTCTACAGTGCTGTTTGTGTTGCCCAGTTTCACCAGTGTCAGTTTCCCTGCAAGGAGAAATTGTTTGGCCTTTCCGAGTCAGTGTGTCCTGACCCCAGGTGGATCTTGTGGGTGCCATTTGTCTCCATCTGGGCTGTGCTTCTGGCTGAGTCTGCCAGCCAGTGAGTGAGCGGACGAGAGTCCAATGGTCCCACGCCTGTCTGGTGGGCTAGTTGGGATGACTGGGAAGGGTTCTGTGAAGACAAGTTTCTAGACAGAGTAGAACTAGGTGGCAGGACCTGGATTCAAACCCCCAGCTTTTCTCTCATCCTGAGGCTCTGTAGCCAGAGCAGATACAGTAAGGTTGTTGATACCTGTGTCCCGCTTCTGGTTGCAAAGCCTGCCTCAGAATAGACCCCAGGAAAAGACAAGATGGCCAGCAAGGCAATACTGACCCAGCCTGACTTGGTTACCCCTAGGGTTCAGTAGTCATTCTAATCCCAGCCCCCACCAACCTGAGGGGCCTGAAGATGCTCCCCCATGTCTCCAGGGCAGCAGAGCTTTCTCAGCTAGTTTCTGGGAAAGATGGGGTTGTCCACACCCCATGGCCTATGACCAGACTCCTAACTCAGCCCACAGCTCTCTCCTCCACAGATCCGGCCCCCCTCACGCCAGCCCCCTGCCCTTCCCTGTGGATGGCCCCAGGACCAGCTAGGTAATGCAGCGAGTGCTGCTCCATGCCCTGCTCCTCCCCGGGCCTTTCTCCCTTCCTCCTGCACTGGGCAGCAGTGGCTAAAGGGCCCCCGGGGCTCAGCATCCTTCCTCGCCAGCCTTGCCTGCTGGGCTCTTTCCTTTCTGTGGCATCCAGCCCAGCTTCTTCTCTGGCTTCCCCAGTTCCCGTCCCAAGGCTCACAGCATCTGTGTGGATCCACTGGGCCTCTCAAGTAAAGCTTGTCAGGACCCGTGGTTGGGTCGAGGGGTTGGGGAAGGACTTCCCCCTGGTGAAGAGAGCCCCTGTCTGGGCACGGGGTGGGGAGCGTGAGGGGCACCTACAGTCAAGTCCCGGCCCTGTCCTCAGCTAGTGCTGTAAGTCAGCCTGTGCTTTCTTCTCCGGACAGACACCCCCTGTTTAAATGTTAGGTAGGCCTCCGAATTCTTCCCTGCTTGGTTTGAAAACCTCAACGGGTGCAGGGCTCTTGTTGGGGGGGCGGGTGGGGAGCTAGGTTGTAGAGGCCAAAGGAAGCCTTGGGGACATCAGCCCCTCAGTTCTGACTCCCGCTGGAGGCCAGAGCACACAGCTTCCGCTGCTTCTCTCCCTGCCTTCTCCCGCCTTTGGGTGCTGTGTGGCTTTGTTTCTCTGCTCTGTGAACAGGGGCCATCTCAGCCCTCCTGGGTCCTGGGCTCTTGCTTTGTTAGTGAAGGTTGACCAGAGGGTTTTGAGATGCTCTTCCCCCTCCCCTGGCAGAGCTGACCAGTCTCCCCTGCTGTCCTTGTAGGGTGCAGCCCGGAACCCCGAGGACGTGGACCGGGAGCGGCGAGAACACGAGCGAGAGGAGAGGATGGGGCAGCTGCGGGGGTCTACAACCCGAGCCCTGCCCCCTGGCCCACCCACGGGTGCCACTGCCAACCGGCTCCGCAGTGCAGCCGAGCCTGTGGCTTCTACCCCATGCTCCCGCATCCAGCAAGCTGGTTCGTAGAGGCTTTGGGCGGTGGGCTGAACCTGAGCGGGCCGGGGGTTCCTGGTGGCCACACTGAGTGGCTCTCCACACTCCCCACCCTCCAGGCAATACTTCTCCCAGAGCGATCTCTCGGGCCGACCGGGAGAGGAAGGTGAGCATGAGGCTGCACAGGGGCGCTCCGGCCAACGTCTCCTCGTCAGACCTCACTGGGCGGCAAGAGGTCTCCCGGATTTCAGCCTCACAGGTGAGCGGCCCTCACCCCAACCCCGTCTGGGCCATGGCAGAGTGCAAGTCCAACCTCCCTGCCAACTCTGATCACCCGGGAGCAGGAGACTGGGCCTCACCCAATCCCAAGGTCCAATCAGCCCCATTTCCTGGAGCCTGCTGCAAATAGTGCGGTACCCCCACACCCACCCCGGGGTGGCCTGGAGTGGTTACGTGGCCTCCTGGGCAGTGAGTGCTCTGGCTTCAGAGCAGGGACCCTTGAGGGTCAGTGGCTTCCCAAGCCCCTCCTCCTGGCATGAGAGACCTGGTGGGGGTGGGGTGGAGCTCCACAGTGGGGTGAGGTTTGCCTGAAACTTAGCCCATCTCTGCCCCCTCTCCGAAGACAAGCGTGCCATTTGACCATCTCGGGAAGTGAGGAGAGCCACATCGGACCAGTGTTTGCTTAGGTGAGTGTTGTCTGCTGTGTAAGCAGGCCCACCTGGCAGGGCTGAAACCACCTGGGGCCCCGGGGAATGCTAGTGTGTGTCAGTGAGGGGGAGGCCTTGGAAGGAGAGACCATGGACTCCCCTCAAAACGAGGCCATGGCTGGGGGCACCTTGAACCTCCAAACCAAGGCTTCTCGAGGAGTTGTGGGGAGCCAGTGGCTCACTTCTGTAATCCTAAGCTACTCAGGAGGCTGAGATCTGAGGATTGTGCTTCAAAGCCAGCATGGACAGAGACTGCCAACTAACCACCAAAAACCTGGAAATAGAGCTGTGACTCAAGTGGTAGAGCCCCAGCCTTGAGCAAAAAAGCTAAGAGAGTTTGTTCACAAATAAAATAAAATAAAATTTAAAAAAAATAAAAAAAAAAAGCTAAGAGACAGTGTCCAAGATAAAGAAACATGCTCAGCCAGGCACTGGTGGCTCACGCCAGTAATCCTAGCTACTCAGGAGGCTGAGATCTGAGGATCGCAGTTCAAAGCCAGCCCAGGCAGGTAAAGTCCTTGAGACTCTTTAACTCCAATTAACCACCAGAAAACCGGAAATGGCGCTGTGGCTCAAAGAGGTAGAGCACTAGCCTTGAGCTGAAAGCTGAGGGACAGCACCCAGACATCAGGGGGGAAAAAAACAACACTCCCCTTCCTCTCCCCTCTGCCCCTACTCCTACACCTTTGGAGTCGACCAGACTTGGGGCCCAGGCTTCCTGTGCTAAGCTGGGGCCCTGTGTGGATTCGTTCTGCTAGTTAATGCCTGCCCTTAGGACCACCTCTCTCTATCCAGGGCCCACCTCAGCCTCTGGACTGTTGAGCAAGTTCAGTCCTGCAAAGCATTAAGAACAGGGACTGTTAGAAGGCCTATATGGCAGCTGGGTAAGGCTGCTCTGGGCTGTCTGAGGCCTTCAGGCAGTGTGGAAGAACTCTGGGCAAAGATTTGCCCTCGCTAAGGTTCCCACCCTTCCCCCTCTTCCTCCCCCCTCCCCCCCAGCCCCAGCCCAAGTGTAACAAGCTAGGCTTGGAGCAGGCTTTTCCATATCAGCTCTTAGACCAAAGGCACCTAATTTCTCTTTCTTTGCCCTTCTAGTGTCTTCACTGTATTTTCTTTTAAAAAACAAAACAAAAAAAAAGATGGAAAAAAAAAACCACTCTGAACAAGAAAAACAAACAACCCAGCACAAAACCGACGATGG